AACGACACATGTAAATTAAACTTCAAAAAAAAAACCTACTCAACCGGTTCCGAGTAAAATGGGACCATTAAAACTGATCGGGGGGTAAAGGTGGGATTATTAAAAAATAATCCAAAGGTGGGATTATTCCGGACAATATTTCCTTAAACTTGTACTTCATCTTTATCTCCCCTTTTCAATTTAACCTTTTCCTTTGCTCTCTTTAATTATAGATAGGGGTGAGCAAACCGGGTACCCGGTCAAATTTTTAGGACCCGGATCCGGTATTGGTTGGTTCCAGGTCCTAAAATTCGGAATTGGAATTGGAACCACTTCAACCGGGTCCTATTTAGGTATTGGAATTGGAACCGCTAGGTACCGGGTCCGGTTCCGGGTACCCACTTATTACATAATTATTAACTTTTAATGCAAATTTTATACTTATTTTCATCCATTTTCATTTCTAGTGTTTAAAACTTAAATTTATATATGAATGATTGCATGAGCTATTTTATTTAGGTTAGATATTAATAATATATTTTTTTATTTTATTAATGTAGGGAATATTTCAAGCGTTAATCCCTAGCTTGAACCCCACTGTGATCATACACTTAAGTATGGTGGCGTCCAAAGGGAAAGAAGATAGAGCAAAAGAGTCGCCAACAAGTTTTAGGAACTTGTAAACCCTTCACGAGGTGAAGGTTACACCCCTTAACGATCCAGGAGATCGTCAACTCCAATAGGTCTGGAACCATGACTGGTAGTTCGGGGATGAAGGTACAAATCCAACCTAAAAGAGATTAAACCTGCCCTAATAATAGGCCTCTACTTTATTTTGATCGATTCATGTGCGCTTTCTGACTAATATGCAATCAATAGGATTAACCCTAAACCTGTTTATCTATGTTGGTTGAATATTAATGCACAAATAAATCTATTATTGGCGATTACTTGAATTATAATCAAATTAACCCTAAACAAGATTATTAATTATCTTATTAAGCGTGATTACAAGTACTAATTCCCTTTAAACATGCATAAAAGGTGTGATCAAGCAATAACAATAAAAATAGCATCAAGCAACATAATAATAATCATCATAACAATTATAATAAAAATAATCATAATAATAATAACCATAATTAAAATAATCATGTTAAAGCATAATAATAATAGCAAGATCCTAGACATGATACTAACAAGATTAATAACAACCCCTAGCATGTCACTAAACATCAAAGATCAAATATATATCCCAAACATGATACTAACATGATATTAGGAAAGAAAATAGGAAGCATCGCAGGAATCATAATAAGCATATTTGATATTATAACCTTTTCCCTAAACATGATACTAGAAATCACTTTTGTTATTCAAAACATCAAATTAAGAAAAACATCCTAACATGATACTAGGAATCAAAATAACAACCTAGACTGTATTTCTATATCATAATAACAATAAGTCAATTAAAGTACTTACTTGGATGCTTCGTATCTCTTTCTAATAACAAAATACACACGTTAGTAACTTCAAGGAAAATAATAAAATCAAACAATTAAATTAAATAATTGAAATAGAGATTTGGGACCAAACCCTTAGAAATATCAAACCTTTCACGTCTAAGGCGAAGGCAACTTCGAATATGGCTAGGTGTATCTAAGTCTTGCGAATACGAAATTTTGTATTTGAGAAAAAGCTAGTTTAGAAAAGAGAGAGAGAATAATCAAGAAAATCTTGATGAGAGTTGGTGAGAATTATAAAGAATAAAAATTGATGAGAATTGATGATTGAAAAAGGGGAGATATGACCTCTATTTATAGATGAAAAAGAGGGTCGGAGAATAAGAAAAGAATCCGAATTCGAATCGAAATAGTACTCGATGGACAACATTTTTTGTGGATTTTGTTTTTATCACATCTTTTGATCCAAAAGTCCAAATAAAGCATATAATATGTCGTTGGAAAGCTCTTGAAGTCTGCTTTCCAACCCAATTAGAATCGGATTAAAGTCTTTTGTAGATAAAAATATATGGACGAAATAGTAGGACGGTGTCAGTTTTGGATAGAGTTTCATATCTTATTCATATTTTTTTCGTTATAACTCGGATTTAATATTATAATATATCAATGGAAAGATAATTTAAAGATCTATCCAACCATATAAAATTTGGATAAATATTATGATACACAAAAATAAAATCTGACAGTCTTTGAACATCTTTAAATTCGAATAGAATTAGGATTTAAGAAAAGGAAAGTTTTTATTTAACTCAAATTCTTTGATTTTATCTTTTCAAAAAGGATAATTAAGATCTTTTAAAAACTTATAGAAGCTTATAATTAATCCTAATTAGTTTAGGAATAGGATTAAACCTTTGGACTCTCCACATGATCATTGGGCCGTAGGTAAAATCCGATTTGGGCCCAGTTTAGTATTTTGGCCATAACTTCCTCATTATTCATCAGAATTGGGCTTATAATATATCGTTGGAAAGGTCTTTTCAAGCCTCATCCAACTACACTATTATTGGACCCATATCATGGACCAAAGGAATGCACGTTTTCAAAAATAGGATAAAAAAAGAAATATTTTCAAAAATACAAAGAAGAGATATTTTAATAAAAACATCCTCATCACTAGACTTTTCACACTTTTGCCTTGTTCAATAATCAAATGACATGAAAGGTATTCAGCACCGGGTTTGGTTTTGGGGAGATACATTTGGGTGTCTACAACTAGCTAGATACATTTAACATATTTTATTTTTTTCTTAAAAAAGTATATTTAGTTTAATATATATTGGGTAACCGGGTACCCAAACGGTTTCGGGTCCAAAAATTTGGGAATTGGAATTGGAACCGGTTGCAACCGGTTCTTAAATTTATTACTTGGAATTGGAACCACCGAGTCCAATTCCAGATCCGAATCCACCGGTTCCAATTCCAATTTCGGGTTCCCGGAATGTTTGCTCACCCATAATTATAGACCCTCCACCTTCTTTATTTAAGCTTAGTTTTCAATTATAGTTCCAAAAATTTAACTTCTAAATCATTTTTTTATTACACATAATAACCATAATGAGCTATTGATATTTCCTCACTCATTTCTCAATGCAATAATCTTTGAATAACCAGCGCATTGCCCGGGCCAAAAGGTGAATTCTACTATTGTTTTCTTTCGAAAAGCTTAGATTTGATGAATTGACACCCAAAGTAACCATATTTAAAGTTGTTAGCATTTAAGTTTATGTGAACTAATGGATTGAGAAGAGTCATATTAATATATAAATTTGTCACAAATCATTTTACTATACATGTATTATTATGTAAATTGTTTAAAAAATCAATATCCTAACTACAAGAAAAAAAGGAAATTTTGTATTTTAACACCAAAAAAAAAAACTCGAAAATGGTTTATTGGTTTTACTACCACTTAATTAATTCCGTCCAAGAATTTATTAAGAGGGGCTATAAAACCACGTGTTGCTTTGTTATTGGGAAAAAAAGAAAAAAAAATTTAAACATTTTTTTTTATAAAAAAAGCCCTAAATCTACCCAACCACCCCAGGCCTACCACCGCCCCCCATAAGTGCCACCCTCGTCTCCTCCCCTACCAAGTGCAACTGCCACCCACTGGCCCACCGTCGGCGCATCCACTCCCGAACCTAAACCCGACCCACTTGAACCCTCCCCCTCTCTTTCCCGCAGTCCTAAACCACCTAATCGCAGCTATCCTTCCCCAAAATTGGCCACGAATTTGGCCATTTTTGGGGACGGATGGTTACGGTTTGGGCTTTTGGCGATTATGGAGCGGTTTTGGGCTAGGGGAAAGGGAGGGGGAAGGTTCAAATAGGTTGGGTAAATGGAAGGGGAGGGTATGCGTCGGCTGCTGCATTGGGTGAGGCCGTGAGGGTGGAGAAGTAGGTGCCGGTAGTGGGGCTGGGTAGGTTAAGGATTTTTTTTAAACCAATAAAATGGTGACACGTGTCAATGTAGACCCTACTTAATGGATTTTTTAGACGGAAACCTTTTAAAGGCCTTGTTTGGTTGACAAACAAATTCATGCGATTTTTGAATTCCGAGGAAATGGATTAATACATGTTTGTTTGGTTGACAATAATGTAGGAATTGGAACTTCCTATAAAGTTCCACTTCCCACTAAATGAAGGAATTAACTTACCTAGTCCCCTCTAGGTAAGTGGAACTTCCCATGAGAAGTGAAAATTCCCACATCTAACCAAACAATTTTTGAAAATTCCTAGGAATTACAATTTTATAGGAATTGAGATTTCATGAGAACTTCTACTTCCCACATCCAACCAAACAAGGCCTAAGTGGTGGTAAAATCCAAATTTTTAAAATTTTTCTAATGCTAAATTAATTTTTTTTAGGAGGTATTAAAAACCATTTTCAATCCTTTTTTTTTGTGTTAAACTACGAAATTTCTAGTTAAAAAAAAAAACATAATTACTTCTTGGTCAAAAATAAAAAAACCTAAATTATAATTTGCAAGCTGTGGAACTTCCCATGAGAAGTGAAAATTCCCACATCTAACCAAACAATTTTTGAAAATTCCTAGGAATTACAATTTTATAGGAATTGAGATTTCATGAGAACTTCTACATCCCACATCCAACCAAACAAGGCCTAAGTGGTGGTAAAATCCAAATTTTTAAAATTTTTCTAATGCTAAATTAATTTTTTTTCAGGAGGTATTAAAAACCATTTTCAATCCTTTTTTTTTTTGTGTTAAACTACGAAATTTCTAGTTAAAAAAAAAAAAAAAAAAAAACTACTTCTTGGTCAAAAATAAAAAAAACCTAAATTATAATTTGCAAGCTGTGGGGTTCGAACCCACGCGCACTTATGTGCAGAAGATCTTAAGTCTTCCCCTTAACCACTCGGGCAAACTTGCTTAACTGTTAATCAAGTCCAAAAACAACTTATATAAATATACATTAATAAATAAATAATACCAAAAACAAAAAAAACACCCTATAAAAAGGAAAAAAAAAACCCCAAAAATCCTGAAATTCTCCAACGTCGTCAAACTGAAACCCAACCCTCAGAGAGGAGAGAGAAAGTTCAACAATGGCGGAACATCTAGCTTCGATATTCGGGACAGAGAAAGATAGAGTGAACTGTCCGTTCTACTTCAAGATCGGAGCTTGCAGACATGGCGATCGTTGTTCAAGGCTTCATACAAAGCCCAGTATCAGCCCTACTTTGCTGCTTGCTAACATGTATCAACGCCCTGATATGATTACTCCTGGTGTTGATCCTCAAGGCCAGCCCCTTGATCCCACCAAAATTCAACAGCACTTTGAGGTTTGATTTCTATTAGGGTTTTTATTTTGTTGATTTGATGTTTAGGGTTTTTAATCTTTTTATGTGTTTTTTTGAGATTTGTGTTTGGTTGCTGTTTGTGGTAGATTAGTGTTTAATTTAATCTGATTTGTTTAAGTATAAGTTTGTTTTTGTAATCCAATTTATAACATTTTTGGAACTTTATTTTTTCAAATTAGGGTTGGAGTTGGTGATTTTGTGTTATTAAAGATGGGGCTTTTTGGTGATTTTGTGTTGTTAAAGCTTAATTGTTATGAATTCAATCTGCTTTTTGACTCTGTTATACATGGAATTATTGGAACTTACGTTTGTTATTGTCGTTGTGTAGAAGTTCCTTATTCAATAATTTGTTTTTGTTTCGATTTTAAGGTTATCATTAAATGATGTACTGATTGTTTGCTTTTTAATATGAATGTGCAGGATTTTTATGAGGATTTATTTGAGGAACTAAACAAGTATGGGGAGATTGAGAGTCTCAACATATGTGACAATTTGGCTGACCATATGGTATTGTTTCCGATTACCATACTTTGATTGTTTATATTATCATATATGATTACAAGTTTTGACTGTGGTTTATCCGTGTGTAGGTGGGTAATGTTTATGTGCAATTTCGAGAGGAAGAACATGCTGCTGAAGCTGTTAGAAACTTGAGTGGAAGGTTTTATGCTGGTATATTATCTTCTACTTCTGAAAGAATTCCTTGCATCTTTTTTTTTTGTTGTGATGCTTTTTGTTTGTACCTTTTGTAAATAGGGAATCTCTTTCCCTAATACTGAGTTTCCACTAATTATTTTTGTTATTCCTTTTTTCCACGGAATTTTTTTCTTATTCCTTTTTCCCACTGAATCTATACTGTATTACATTGCTCAATGGTTAATTGAAGGGCCATAATTCCTGGTCTGGAACTATGAATGGCCCTTGAGAAATTAAGTAACAATGATGTCTCCTTTGCTTTGATGAATGTTGCATAATATAGAGCTATGAAAAACATAGTTGTATCAAGTTTCTGCAGCAGCTCTGAATGTTAATGTAGCTACTTTTTAAGCTCTGATGCCATTTTATATTAAATCTTGCAGGCCGTCCAATTATTGTCGACTTCTCTCCTGTAACGGACTTCAGGGAAGCAACATGCAGGCAGTATGAGGAGAATGTGTGCAACCGTGGAGGTTACTGCAACTTTATGCATTTGAAAAAAATAAGCAGGTAATCTTAATGTCATCACCCTCTTTATCTGGTTAGTTGGCTAGTTTTATACTTTTTAGTGACATACTTTTTTTGGTTGTTTACATCAATTTCAGGGAGCTCAGACGTCAGTTGTTTGGAAGGTATAGAAGGAGGCGTAGCCGTAGTAGAAGTCATAGTCCTCCACGACATCGGGGGCATGGAGATAGGGGACATGGAGATCGTCCCCATGGTGGCCGTGGTGGATATGGTGGTAGAAGAGAGGATGATAGAAATCAGCGATACCCTGACAAGGGTAGGAGGCCTAGGAGCCGTAGCCCTGGGCATAGGGGAAGAAGTCCTGTAGGTAGAAGGGATAGGAGTCCAGTGAGGGAGAATAGTGAGGAAAGAAGAGCAAAGATTGAGCAGTGGAACAGGGAAAGAGATCAGACTGATAATGGGAATAATGATGTTAGTCATGATGCCAATGATAACCATGCGAATGGGTCCGTGGAGAATGGGGAGGATTACTATGACCGTCCTCAACAGTAAATGGATGAAGTGGTATAGCAGACAATATACACTACTTTTGGTATGTATCATCTACCCTGTTTCAAATTGATTGAAGTATATGGCTTCTTAGGATAAGAACTTCATAAAAGCATATTTTACCCTTTTTAAACAGCCCCATAGAAGGTTATAGCTTACCACCCATTTTCCACTGTGCAGGTGGAGTACAGGTTCATTGCTTAAAGATAATGAAAGTAAAACCTTTTTTCCAACTTTTGAAATGGTAAATGAAAAAAAAAAAATTCTAATTAAACAAGATTAAAGCAAGAACTTCTGTCTAATCTCTATCTCTTAAAGGTTTTTATTATTTTTTTTCCCTTTTAAACTTATTATGGTCTCATTTTTCCCTTTTAAGCCCAATCTCTTCAATTTTTTAATGACTTTGCAATGGTCACATGACCTGGCCGTCCTGGGGTGACCATGGTCCTGCCCAGGCATTTTATGGCACAGCACTGCACGCGGGCCTAGTGGGCCTTGCTGGTGCAAGTTCACTGGTTACACGTGCGTGCATACTTAAAGCTCTTTTCATTAACAAAACAAATGAACTTCGACACAATGAGCAATAATGAATATGGAAATTTATGTTAATGAATCTACAGAGTGGTTAAAGCTTTGTATTTGACATGCATTTTGTACATTTTATTAAAATCATTCAACGGTAGAAGTTTTACTAATTTAAAAATCATACAATTCCTTAAAAATTTTAATCAATTAACATGCCAAATCTTAGTAGGAATGTTTGATGAAGTACACAGAGTACAGAATGGCTGACTTAGGGAGGGGGACTGTATTTTTGCAAGGTTGTTTTATGAGCTGAACATCAGTAATATGTTGGCCTCCAAAAAATAATAGGAATTGTGAAAGTGGTTAGACCCAACACCTAGCTATATTGTGCAAAAAATAAAACAGGAATAGTAAAAGTGGCTACACTTGAAGGGAGAGGACTATTTTTTTTTTTTTTTTTGGTGGCATGTAGTCAATCCTTGTTCAAGTTTGGGAGTAAAAGCTATCAGGCATACTAGAATTGCACATTGATTAAATTCAACCTAGTCAATCCTTTCTCTTTACATAAACCCTGCTGATATAATGTTTTTGAGAATGCCAGTTAAGTGTTGACGTCTTGCTAGAAATTTTGAATAGCTTTTAGCCTTTCCTATAGTTCAGCAGTTTTGAGTCTTTAGTATTCAGTTGCACTTGCATTAATCTTGTTATTTTCCAGAACATGATATATTGGTTCATAAGCAGTATGGAGAATGAAATGTATTCCCATCCGCCTGGAAATCAGTTGCAAATATGTTATAGGTTTGGTTTCATGCTTTAGTGGGAACTATCCCAGTATGTTTTTTGGTCGTTTAATCTTACGTAGTTTGTCAAGGTGTGCAGGTCCAGGTTTTCCTGTAAGATGGCAGAGACCTCGTCTTTTATAGCAGCTTATTGTTATATTTCTATACAGGTTGTCTGTTATCAGAATCAGCTCGTTTGCAGAATCTTCTTAAAGTTGAAGTGATGGATGGATTGAAGATTTTACGCGCCGACGAGAAGCTTCAGTTTAGTTCTTGGTGTGTGATATTTTTTTTTCTCAGGGACCATATTGCAGTGTCAGAGTTTATTTGCTAATGTTTTAGTAGACTGTTGTGCTTTCATATGTGAAGACTATCTATCTGGAAATGTATTATCCTGTTTTTCGGTTTTACTTCGCTCATCAGTGTTATTTTATAGAGTACGTAATGTACAAAAGGCAGGAGGAAAAATCTTCAACCTATGAAATTTCTTCCAGTGTCCAATTGAGTTGAAATGTACACCAATTGAACTGGTTTGACCTTAACTCAACTCAATCCTTTCGGAATGGACTTGATTAAATCTGATTTGTCTTGATTCAAATTGATAATGTGACTCGATTTAAACCAGACATGATTTCAAATCAACCCTAATTTTAAACCAAACCTAATTTAACGTGACTCGATTTAAACCAGACATGATTTCAAATCAACCCTAATTTCAAACCAAACTTAATTTTAAGCCAAACGTATTTTAACCCTACTTAAGAACAACAAATATCTTATACAAATTGACTTTGTGTGATAATACTCGTAGCCTTATAAGATCATACGGTTGAAGAGTAATAATAACCTTAAATAGATGACATTCTTTTGTGTCTATATGACTAATAACCTTGAAGAGTAATACTTCCTCCGATTTCTTTTACTTGCAACACTTTCCTAAAAAGGAAATGTCACAATACTTGCAACAAACTATAAAAGGAAAGTTACTATAGGGAAAAACTATACTATTTCCCTTATTTAAAGCATATGGCCCACTAAATTACACTCCTAACAACCATTCATCTTATTTTAAAGTTTATTATATCATGTAAACCCCACATTTCTTAATTACCGCGCTAAAGGGTGTGTTGCATCTAAAAGAAAACGGAGGAAGTAGTCTCACTTTAATTTGATAAGTGATCGGTAGTTTGAGTGTAATTTGACTTAAAAGATGAAAATGACACAAAATATGATCGAATGAGAAAACTAATACCCCATAATTACTAATGACACTATATGAATATGACATTTGAATGACCTGATATCGATCCAATAATAAGGTAAACTCAATACTTTGATTTAAAAATAACCTTATTGGAATATTGAATTCATTGAACAATATTAAAGCAAACACGAAAAGGATTTAAATCGAAATTGACCTAAAATAGAACCTACCTTATCTTAATCTAATTGAACTTTCGAACTGATCCAATGAACCGGAATCAACCCAATTCAAAGTAATCCCACCTGAAATTAGCCACCCATTTTAAACCCAATTTGAATTTATCTGAACCATATATGAGCCGAGATGAGGTTGACCCGACCCAAACTTGACCCTGACTCATTAGACCTTGACTCAAAATTGACCCAACCTGAGGCAGGTTAAAAAGATTTCTTTTACCCAAACAAACCCAACCTGTCACATGTTAGCCCAAATTCTATCCGGTTATCAAAATTGGCACCTCTAAATTCATGTATACAAGAACAACTATGGCTAAACTAAAGGTGGATAAGAAACTATAAGATAAATAAGAATTATAATTGATTAATTGGTTACTTTCGTGAATTAGTGTATCAAGGGTTAGCACAATGTGACTAATAATATCAAGTATTCTAGCGAATTTAAGTTGTATTCTTTTTTATGTAGCATCCCTACTCTCCACAACCTCGAACTTACTCTATTTGGTGCCCAAATTATCATTTGAATCTCCTGCTTTGTACTAGGCTTGCACTCTGGGGAACCAATTCAAAGACCCAGACAAATAAGCAAGGTTTGCTTCCTGACAAGCTAAACCACTCCTATATGAATAGACCAACATTTCAAAAAACACAAGGCAATAAAGAGTTTAATCTATAAGATGGAACACTTTCTACGGATTGACCAGCAACAGACCAAAACCGATGTACAGCATATTTTAACTACAGTAGATGCACGGCACAAAAGGCTCCCAATTACAGGTATCTTTGAGAAGCAGCAAAGATAACCAAGTGTGGGAAAAGAAAAATATTTGCAAAATACGACCGTTACCAAGACTATACTCCAGCTCCAGTACGAAACCCATTTGTCCAACTATGTCCCCATTTAAGTAAAGGGGTGAAATCACAAAAATTGAAGACAATCAACCAGCCATACATAGAGCAATCTCAACCAACTCTATTGTTGACTGTTTGATACAGTGAATTGAGCTGTGTGTTCCATTTGTCAACAGCTGTATACTTCTTCATTCCCTTAGACCTGCAAAACACAAGAATCAGTTACTACAGTTGCTATTAGGATTAACAGAATCAAATTTGAGAATAAAGAAACACCAAAAATTACCTGTCACTGCGCTCTAACAGCCTATTCACTTGGTCTATGTGTCCTTGAACTCTGTTGTCCAAAATTAGAGACACTAACAACTGCTCAACGTCTGCTTCTGGGACATTTAGCTCCTGAGGACAGAAAACAAAAAAGTCAAGAGAATACAATTTAGTTGATATACTGATGAACTTTATTAATCACCCCCAGCAAAATTTTAACATATCCCATCAGCATCCTCCTAATCATCACCATTATCACCACAACAACCTTTACTTTCTTTTCCTTGAGCCACTACAGATCTCTACCCTAAACCTCCAGTCCTAGCATAGCTAACAGATCTCTATTCAAGTTTGTATTGCAACATCTAGAAGCCATCAAGAAAGAAGCCCAAAATCCAAGAATACTTTTTTAAAAACGGTGAGGGAGGCCATGTTTAATGAATTGAATCTTACAGAGCAGAAAACAAGATAAGGAGGTGCATCCATGGAACACTTGATACTATTTCTTATAAATAAAAAATATATTGATAGCGTGGTAACTAACGACCCCACTTATGGAATTAAGGCTTTGATTGATTGATTGTGATGCTCACAACCCAAAAGTATTAATAGTCCATGCATGTTCAATAGGACATTTGATGTACCTTTTCCACAACATTTCCACAAGATCAATTTGATAACAATCTCCCATACTGTACAGGCTTCATTTTTAAGGTTGTATGACTGTATGTTCTTTCATTATATAAGTTGCACAGATGATAAGATCTACAGGGTTCACGAACAAATAGGCAAGTCATGTAGTGTTAAGGTATAAGCTCTTTTTTTGAAAATAAGGGGATATTAGAGTCTACATAACTATGATCATTGACTTCTTCACTCCCGACTATAAGAGCACAATTTTCTCATCCTAGTCCCACAAGGAAGGTGTGAATAAGCACCTTGAGTGAAATTACATTACTGATCCTTCTTATCAGAATGACCATAGACCAACTACAAAACTTTATGCCCCAGCCACTGCAACCCCCCCTTCAGAAAAAAGGACACAATTTTGTAGTTTTTTTGCACGACAACATAATATACATAAATACACTTTCCCAGCACCAGGTATTTCTTAGACAACCTACTGTAGAATTGTTTTCCCAATTCTGTTGGTTATCCCAGCAACATAATCAAACTAAAAACATATTTCCCAGCAAGTATATAACCATTACAAAGAGACCAGACCATCACATATAGCTATATCACTATGGTAACATCATTAACAAGTACATGAAGATAAACACAGTACAGTAAAATAGACTACCGCGGATAATTATGTTACAGAATTCCACTTTATTTATTTATACCTTGGATATGAAGGGTATTCTGATTCTTGTGTACGGCTTGATTAGTTTGAGCAATACTTGTGTTCTTATATTCTTCAACAGGTCTTCAATGTAGTTTCTGATGAAGGGATCATCCATAATTGTCCTCCTGTTACTCTGCAGCATCAAACAGTTATTCGTAAAAAGATCAAAATTTGAAGGCAAACACAATTTCTTAAACATTTTTAAAATATTTAAAGTAATAAATAGAAAGCATATTCTAAAAGGTGAAAATCAGAATTCATCCAGACCTTCAAAATCTTCTCAAACTCCAGAATCTCATTTCTCTGGTAAGCTGCTATCAAATTTGTCATTGCCAAGATTTCAGGGTCATTTTTGTAACTGCAAAAATAGATGAAGTAAGTTCATAAGGACCGTGTACGTCAAATCATAACAGCATAAAGAGTGAAGAATAGAGATAAAGAGCATACGGCTTAGCCTCTTGTCCATCAAATGGATTCACCTCAGATTCCATTAACATATTTGCAAGTACCAAATATCTGTCAATGAGTATAAAGGAGACCATGTGAGACAAAGAGAAACGAATCATCAGAACAAATGACAAAATCTTATGTCCCAAAATAAGAGTGAATTTGTATCTAAATTCAAGTCCCATGTATCATTAGCTAAAAATGCTTTGTTTCAAAAACTACATAATAATTCAATCCAACCCTTTATTCAGTAGGCCAGATCAAAGGGCTGAACAAGATACAAAGGATAAAAGATAATATCAACAACAGGGTTGACAAGAATTGATCCCCCTCTGACCACAAGGTTGGAAGGTGGACGCTCAACCCCTAGCGTTCCAACTCAACTAACTAGATCAGTATCTATTTAAAATTTAAAATATATATATATATATATATATATATATATATATATATATATATATATATATATATATATATATATATATATATATTCCCTTAAACATTTAATCAATACAAAAAACTGGAAGAATTTTCAGACATAAAAGAGAAAAGAGTCCATGCATTATACAAAGACATAATTTACAGCCCAATGCTCTATGTTGCATGTAAATAATCTTACAGTGTAATCCAGGATTCACAACTAGCAATCAGAAGAAAGAAGGATACAAAGGTCAAAAGTAGGATATGGTTATTTGCAGATAGATATCTGTGAGCAATGATGTACTCTGATATCCAAGGGTCAAAATCTTAGTTGGCAGAGAGAGTTTTAAAGTGACATAATACTTAGGAATAATTAACTTTACAGATGTAATATAGAGATTCACTTCTAAAATCAATTGATAAAACAAAAAGATTACTGAAACATACTTCAAACATTGGATACGCCGTTGGTTTCCAGCTTCATCGTAATTCTTGAATGCTTCAAAAAAATCTGTTGCTGCTTCTGCCCACTGACGCTCTGCCATATGCATTTTCCCTCCACATTCATGAATTATTCCCATTATCCTTGGATGTGGTATTGCGGACTTAACAGTTAGTGCCTTCTGATACAGTTGCTGCA